TTCTTGGCAGCCCCTACCATTAGTATTGGCTCTTGACACTAAGCCAAAAGGTTGTTACCTTTTTTTTTTAACTGCTGCTTTGATCAAGGTGTTTATTCAAAATAAGCTGTCCAAAATGATTTACCCTTTATGGAATAAACGAATCTAAGGGCTTATAAAACAGGCTTCTTTTCTTCTGTAGTAGATATTTTTTTTTTCAGCTGGCTTCTTTTCAGGTGCTGGTTTCTTTTCAGTTATAGGGCATGTACAGTCAATGGAGAGAGATAAAGAGAGACAATGAGCGGCAAAGTGAATAATCATCCCCCCAGCGGGGCATGACCACGCCACAATCGCTTCTCATTTTCTTCTCGGGATTCTGGGCATGCGTGCACACATGTCTGTTGTAATTTTCAAGCTGCCAGGTCAGGGACTCAAACTGCTGTCAGCCCTGTGGAAGTCCAGCACCACTATGCCACCTACTGGCTTCCAAAAGATTGTTACTTGAAAAAAATTACTGTGGTAAAATAAATCTAAGAGAATTTACCATTTTCACCATTTGTAAGTATACAATTCGGTGGTTTTAAGTAGATTCAAAATATTGTGTAACTGTTTCCACTATTTCCAAACTTTCTCATGATCCTAGACAGAAACTGTGCCTACTAAACACTAACTCCCCATTTCTTCTTCCCAGCCCTGATCTCCACTACTCTGCTTTCTGTCTCTATGAATCTGCCTATTAGATTCATTTTTTTTTTCAGATTCTTTATATAAGTGGATCATATAACATTTGTCCTTTGGTGTCTACCTTATTTCATTTAGTGTGTTTTCTTCTTTTTTAAAAGAATTTTTTTATCTAATTTTATTCATTCACTCATTTATTTTAATGTGAGCAGACAGAGACACACAGAGAGACAAAGGGAAAGTGAGAAAGCAAGCCACCAGATCTGGGACTCGAACTGTGGTTGGCCATGTGGGAGTGTCTAGTGCCTTAACCACCATGCCACCTGCTAGTCCCCATTTAGAGTAACGTTTTCAAGAAAGATACTTATTTTTTTTTTAAAAAATAGACCATTTTTTTAGAACACGGACGTCAGCTTCTATTGCATATTAAAGGTGGAGTTGTATTTTTTGGAAAAAAAAATGATGGAAACGTCAAATGGGACAGGTAGGTTGGGGTGGAGAATCTTGAGTTTCAAGCTTAAAATGATCCTTCTTTGTTCCATGTTGCTATATGGAGGTTTTTAATGTGTGAGCCAGTGTTTTTATGCAGATGTTTTACACCTAGTGGTTAATTCTTCTGGTAGTTTTACCCCTGGTGGTTAATTCTTCTGGGCCCCCCCCCCCCAGCGGATTTTGCATATTTTATAGTTAGGATATGAAGACACGGGGATGCTATGGGGATTAGGTAAATGTGTGTGGCATAGTTTGCTGTATAAACTCAGTCTTTGGAACTAGTTTTCACTCCCTGCTCTTAACTTCTACAGCTTTTAGTGTCAATACCATTCATTTAGCACTTAGCATACACTTGTTGGTTGTATTTTTATGTGTATATCCCTGAAGGCAGGAGCCAAGTCTCATACCTCTTTGTTTTTTCAGTCCTGTCCATAATAGCAGCTCAATCAATGTTTGTTGAAGTTGCCCTCCCCCTCCTTTTTAACTAGAGCAGGCAACACATAGCTTTAAAATAAAATTCAGTCTAAACAAACTGAAGGGTTTCCACGGTGAAAACACAGAGGAAGTCTTGCGTGGCAGGAGAAAAGGAACACCTAAGTCACTTGGAAGACGTGGGTAAAGTAGAGGTACCAAAAAACCTGTTGTTTGCCACAGCCTAAGAAATGACTAATACCTGGATTGATTCACCATTTAAGTTCAGAGCTCTGCTAACTCTATCTCATCAACATTTGAATTTTTACAAGAGTAATGCCAAGGCAGAGGTTGAAGAGGGGGTGTTAAAGGAAGTGTCTTTGGGGTTCCATGTATAAAGTCTGCAGGGGTGGTGGGAAAGGCATGTTGGAAAAGTTTGTTTGCTTGTTTTGTTTTTGCTATAGGGTGCATGCACTCACCGGAGAGAGATGTAGTAAGAGTGAGAGAGGGAAAGTGAGAAATCACCCCTAGGGGGGATGACCACACCACAATCTCATCTACTCTACTCTTCTCTCGGGATTTTAGTGCATGCACATTCAAGGTCAAGCCGCTGTGTCTGGACTCGGACGGACTCAAACAGTGGAATTGGCCACTCAGTATCCAGCTGCCTTAACCTCCATGCCACCTATTGGCCCCTGGAAAAGTCCTTTTGAGAGCAACTTCAAGGCTGGGGGCAGGCATATTACAAACATAGCTGCCAGGCCTTTGCTACTGGGATTTTTTTCTCTAGCGTTTTAAGTAGTGGCAAAAGATGAGAAATAGCCCAAATCTCCCTTTTAACAGGGAATTAATTTAAAAAAAATTGGCACATCTATGCAGTGAAATACCAAGTCGTCATGAAACAGACTGAGGTAAAGGGATTTATCCTGAGATGGAAGGATTTTTAATGTACACTGTTTAGTTAAGAAGGGCAAGGTGGGCACAGCCTCCTAGGTGCAATCTGTGGAGACAGACAGGCAACCCCCAAAAGGGCCTTCACACTGTCCTCCTCCCTCAGTTTCAGCCAGTTAAAATCATATGCACACGTGGACCTGGCATGAATGAAGAGACCCTGGGATACAAACCTGGGACTTACCCCATGTGGCCTCAGCATTGTAGAGCATTGGGTTACTTCTGGGCTACTGTGGCTGGCCCATTACTGTTGTATTTTAATTTTAGCATATACGTATTTGACTTTTTCCATTATAGCAGCCGTGCTGATGTTAACAAGTGTCCTGTGTCATTGTGATCAGTAGTGTCCTCCAGCATATACCCACCCTATCTAGCTCTCCTGCCTATTCCCCAAGATATATCATGAGGCTGGAATAATACTCCTTTGTCTCACAAACCAGGTGTCTCTAGGTCTTTAACACTCAAATACTCACATTCCCCCTGAAAAAAAAATCACCAAAATCACTTCACCTCATACATAAACTGAATCATACCGAGAATTCATTTTGTCCATACTCCTGCTTCTGAGTCTTTCTGCAGCTTTGAGCAGAGCATGCTGCCCACTACACATTATGCCACCTGCCCATTAGTTTTTCTGCACCCAGAGTTATATTCTGAGCCCGCTCACCGTCAGATAGTGCTCCCTTTAAGCACACTTTCCTTCACACATCTTGATTCATGGTTTCTCAGAAGGCTCCAATTAGGCAGGCTCAAATTGAATGTCACTTTCAATGGCATGAGTTGATTATAATAGCTCTGCATTGTCAAGGCCTTTACATCTAGACTTGCTTCCTACTTGAAACGTTTTCTAGGAAATATGAATTTGTAGAGAATGGCGGTTTCCATGGTAAATGTTCCCTCATATTTGTTTTCTCAAGTTCACTTCAGAGATACACAGCATGATTTCCTCCTTCAGCACCAGCACCACAATAGATTTAGGTTGTGTCACAAAAACTGCAGAATTGTTTAAAAAAGAAATCTCACCCACCCTGTGTAGAAAAGGGATAATTTATTATTCTAACTACAGGGAGCCAACGTCAAATCCACCCCCAAAACTGTAGGAAAAGAATTGACTTTTTAAAATAAAGCCACAAAACCTACACAATTGTGGATGTAAATGCCTAAAACAGATGCGCAGAGTATTTGGTTGTCAAACACATATGTGATCCTCCACCATGTGTTATGCACAAGTAGGAATACATACATGTGTGGAGTGTTTTGTGGTTTACGGAGCTTTCACACACATTTCATTTTATTTTCACGGCAGTGCCTTTAAGTTAATAGGGCATGTCTTAAAGTCTTTATTTACAGATAGGAAAACTAAGGCTGAGAAGTTAAGCCATTTAGCAAAAGTCCCACAACTAGCTAATAAGTGGCAGAGACCAAAACGAATTCGTCCTTTGGTTCCAAATTCCAAATTATTGTACTTTCGTTTTTCCCAGACGTAAAATGGTGTCCCAAGATGTTGTTCTCAACTCTCCGTGTTCTTAAGCAATACCATTTTTTCGCAGCCAGGAAACGTGAACACCACATTGACACTTCTAAGTACTTTCTCTCTCTCCTGGACAATGAATTAAGGGGGAAGAAAAGTTACCCATTCCTAGAGGGCTGAACAGTGCCCTAAACATAAAGGTGTGCTGGAGTGGCCCACAAATTGTCGCAGAGTGTTCATGAGACTGAGAAATCAAGCGTCTCATCTTTCCCTTCCCAGCAGTAGCTGGGGGAGAACAGAGAGCTAGACAATAGCCTCTTGTTTCGTTTTATTAATTTTGAGGGCGGGTGGGACAAAAGGATGGGATTGGCGACGCAAGGGGCCAATTGCAAGCGAATTCTAGGCCAGGACTGGCCAACGGGTAGCTGCAAAAGAAGGGAGGGTGGAACTTACACTTCAGGGTCCGCCCCACCCAGGTCGGCGCTCCCAGCCCGCCCAAGAGGCGGAGCCTCCGAAGAGCCCCGCCCACACCCCCTGCCGCCCGCACTGCCCGCCAAAGGGAGGTGGGGGCGAGGACCCTGAGCCAACCCGGG